CGTCTAAATTTGTATTTTCTGAATAAGATACTTGACATTCACCGTCAGTCAATAAATTGTCATCGTTTTGACATAAATTTTCATCATTCAAGAAAACTTCATTATTCGCATTTAGCATCAATCTAAAACTCGTCCAGATATCTCTTCCCAATAAAGATTTGGAGGCTCCATCAATCACTAATAAATTGCAAACTTTGGTTGAATGGCCCAATGTGAAATCTACCTCTATTTGCCCTTTAGGAACAACTACTGGACCATGGTAAACTCTAATTAAAATATTTGTTGGTTTGAGATTGATATTGGAAAAATATTTCTCATAAATCTTGAAAGGTAAACATGACATTCCAGCCCCTGTATCAATTTCCATCCTAATTGGTATATTATTAATCAATGCCCTAACATATACAGGTGCAACATAATTATTTTCGTGAAAGATGATAATATCATTATTAAATAATTCAATTGGTTCTTGTTCAACAGTATCAAGAGAATGATTTTTATCAACTTTCGATCTACATACCTTAGAAATATGTCCCTTTTTACGACATACAGTACAAACAAAATTCTTATACCTACAGGTTTTGAAATCATGCTCAATACCACCACACGCAAAACAAGTAACCTTTCCACTTGCTTTTCCTGGTTCTTCTTTTCTTCCTTTTGAAAACATGTGTGGTTTCCCTTTATACAAACTTGAAGAATGAGTACTACCATGATAATTGAATTTCTGAACTCGGTGAACCTCAACGTTTCTTGTCTCCAACAATGCTGCTTCTTTTACTAAAGCAATCTCCAACATTTCATTACAACTCTTCGAAATACCTTCTTCGCATAGTCTGTCCACTATTGGTCCTGGTTTCATTCCAACCACGAACTTATCCAAAACCCTGGCATCCAAAAGTGTTCCGAATTCGCAATCTACAGCTGCCCTTTTGACTTTGACATACCATTCTTTGACTGTTTCATCCTTTTGTCGTAACAAATCAAACTGAATCCTTTTCCGATAAATGGTTACTTTTGGTTTAAATTGCGAAGACAATATGCTTAATAAATCTTCAAAACTCTTACTGCTTGGCTTGTGAGGGTGACAAATATTCCTTAAAATCTTGTAAACATCTTCACAAACGGATGTCAGAAGAATTGAGCTCCTTCTTTCACCTTCAACCCCGTGTGCCAGTAAAAATTGCTCCAGTCTTTCACTGAAAATCTCCCAATCGTCTCCTAATTTGAAAATATTTAAACTTGCCACATTCCCAGTATTAACAACTGTAATATTTGTTTCTCTAGATTGTAATTCTGCTCCTCTAGGCATAATGGAAAATTAGGGTATCAGAACTTTTTCCGAAAATCTCCTTTGAAAATATTGAATCAGGTCCTTCGTTCACGTACCTCGTCGCCAAAATATGTAATAATGTGGCTGAATGGGAGAAACACTATTTATTCATGAAAATATGAAAATGTACATGACAAGACATAATAAAACAAACGTTACATTTCTTATCAACAACATTTATGAAATATGCCAACCCGATATCTCAACATCATTATACAGAGGATACTACAGTTCTCGTATATTATAGTTTATTTTATTCAGAAAGAATTACAATAGGTTTATAAAATAATTGAATGACATTTTTACAATAATTAGAGCTACCTAAATAAGTTATTGCACCTAGATTACAAGCAATCTGTATGTGCAAAAATCTAAGAGGTTATTTTAGTTTCTTAACATATAAAGTATTGAAATAGATTATTATTATCAATAATATTATCCTACAACCTACATGTACTCAAATGAAGAAATGCTAAGGGAATGAGAATAAATACAAGAATAAAAGGAAGAAAAATCTTATGCACGAAATGCAGAGAATTACCTACATTAGTTTTAAAAATGTTTTATAGTTACTGTAGATGATTGGCTTACATTTTTTCACAAATACATCATATTTAGAAATATTTCTTATGTGAATTGGTATAGAATTGTAAATTTTTGGAGCTAGGCTCGTTATGAATCTTTGGTTACCGTCTTTTCTGTAAAAAGGAACAATTAAATTCTGGTTGGATATTTGTCTAGTTTGGTATGTATGCTCAACTTTTGTTTGTAAGTCCTTGTTTTAATAAAAAAAAGGCAAATATTATAAAAATATAGCATTCTGATGTTGAGTATATTGTCGTCATAGAGCTTTTCCGTAGCGAATTGTTTTCCTTTTTGAAAGATAACCTTTAAAATATAGTTTTGTACAACATTCAGAGGTTCGAGTGAGTTTATGTATAGACCACCCCACACAATTATAGCATACTGTAGAATAGACTCAACTAAAGCTTTATAGATAGATATAAGAAGTTTTTTATCCATGAATTTACGTAGCTCATAAAACTTGAAAACTAGCCTTCTCGTTTTACCAACTAGATAATTAACATGATTTGACCATTTTAAATTTTTATCAACTATGACACCTAAATACTTAATTTTGCTAACTTCATCAATTTTTAGTCCGGTTCTTGGTAGCTGTAGGAAGTTGAAATTTGGTCTGTTGACATCAGTTAGAGAAAATGCAATAAATTTTGATTTATCTATATTTAGGGTTAATTCATTAAAGTCTAGCCAGTCTTTCACCATTGCGATACCAAGTTCTGCTTTAGTTTTCACACCTTCCCAAGTATCATCGCTAAATACCAAAACTGTGTCGTCCGCATACGATATGATTAAGCCTTGTATGTTATTGCTCAGTAATGAATTGATATAGATAACGAATAGGAGAGGACCAAGTACAGTTCCCTGCGGGATGCCTAAATTGATCGTTCTATAGTCGCTCATGGTGTTATTCATTCTAACCTGCTGAATTCTGTCCTTCAGATAACTGCGGAAGACGTTCAACACAGCGCCTCTCACGCCATTGTGCTCAAGCACTTCTAGCAGTTTTTCATGAGGCACTGTGTCGAAGGCTTTTGCAAGATCCAAAAATACACCCAGACATTTTTTGTTGTTGTCCAAGTCAGATTTGATAGAGTCAACAAGTCTGAATATAGCATGACTTGTACTAACACCTTTTTGGAAGCCAAACTGATTTTTATTCAAAAGTTTGTTTCTAATAAAAAAATTTGATAGTCTGTCTTTAAGGCATTTCTCGAATAATTTAGCAAAAGTACTTATTAGACTTATTGGTCGAAAATTGCTGATTTCGGTTTTATTTCCAGATTTATAGATTGGGACCACTATTGATTTTTTGAAGTCATTTGGAACAGTTCCCTGGAGAAAGATTTATTAGGTTTATGACATGCATGAGCGGATTAATAATGAATAAATGGTGATCTTTCATAAGTTCAGTACTAATTTCGTCAAACCCTGAGGAACTATTATTCTTGAGTGACGCTATGTGTAAGATGAGTTCGTTTTTTTGTACAGGCAAGAGGAACATACTTCGAGTGACGCGGCGATTATGGGAATTACGGTAATTGTTAGGAGCTTTTATTTTGGCAGCCATTTGCTGTCCTATCTTTGTGAAGTAGTCATTACAATAGTTAGCCATCTGATTTGTATTTTCAAACGGTTTTTTATTGCTACTTAGTATGTTCATTTCACTGTTTTTATTTGCATTTGCGTTTGTTGCTTCATTGATTAAGTTATATATTTTTTTAATATCATTTTTGTTCGAATTTACAAGTTCGCGATAGTGTCTCGCTTTGGCTTCATTTATAACTCTTTTTATGTTATTTCTATATGTTTTGTACGTCTGCATAAGGACATGATTGTTTCTATTTTTTATTAAGTCTTTTTTCAGTTGGTCACGGTGTTTTATAGAGGTTATGATGGCATTTGTGATCCAAGGTTTGATTTTAACATGCATTTCATTTTTTAACACTTTTGTTGTTCTGCAATTGTGAGATATTCCCATGAAAGTTTCAAAAAATGAGTTTCACGCATTGTTTGCATCATTTTTTGTCAAAACAGAAATCCAAGACTCTTGACTGATTACATTTTTAAATTTTAAATGGTCAAAATGTATGATAGTTTTTTCAAGGGGCTGTGGTTTTTCTTGTATTTTGTTGCAGATTTGCAGATATATAGGGTAGTGATCTGTTGTATTGTTATTAATGACTGCCGAAAATAAGTTTAAATTGGCATTGTTTAAATTTTGTTTAACAAAGATATGGTCTATGCATGACTTGGTATCTGTTGTAACTCTAGTATGTGTATTTATATACGATTTGTATCCCAGAGACATAAGTGTGGTCAAGTAGCTATTTGTTATAGCCAGATCGCGATTCATAATATTTACATTTATGTCACCCAAGAATACTGTAAAATCCTCACTTTGCAGATTAACTAAAAAGTTTTCTAAATCAATTACAAAATTTTGTTCTGAACTGGAGGGTGATCTGTAACAAGTGACAACATTAAATGACATATTATCAATTTCAAACTTAATTTCTGTTAAAGTGACATGTGAAGATGGTGTTACAGTGTGTTTTATCTCGAAATTAATTTTATTGTTTATAAAGATAAGAAGTCCATCATTTTGGTTTAGGGTACTATTGTTGAAAAAGGTTGAAAAAGCGGGAATATTAAATTGATCAGGTGAAAAATTATTTCTTGTTTCACCCAAAATCAAGATGTCAATATTCAGAAGGTCACACTCTTGTAAAAATATCAAAATTTCATCAAAGTGTCTGATGGCACTACATACATTAAAGTGTAAAATATTCAGAATCTTTTTGCTAGCCCTTATTCTGGTCCTGAAGTCATCTGTCTCTATGACTTTTTGCGACTGTTCTAATTCAGTTTCCGTTCCTAATGAATTAAGAATATGATCAATATCCATCAAAATACAAAAATGAAGAAAAAGATAAACTAACTGTAAATTACAGAGACAGAAACAAAAGAATACTACTTTGAGTAGTAGTCTATAGTGGATTTATATCTTTGTAGAAAATATTTATATGTTGGACATTCAGACGAAAAAGCTTCATGCTCAACATTTTGATTCAAATTGAATTTCTCATTTGCTCGAGAGCAGTTGCAACATTTTTTCAATGTTTTTTGACAATTCTCTGATTTGTGCTCTAAGCTACAGTATGTACAAGAGAGTTTATTCTTACAGGATATTTCTTTATGATCATAAGCAAAACATTTTTTACATCTAGGAATTCGAGTATCTTCGTAGACTGGACAGCGTTCCCATGATATAAATACCTTTTTGTATGCCATTAGTCTTCCAAAAAGGTCTCCAGAGCATTCACCAAAGACGATAGATTTGTTGTTTCTTATTGGCTTGATGAATGTTATATTGAGATCATCGTCATCTCGGATAAACTGGTTCTGTTGTTTCAAACAGTTCGATATTTCTTCCATGTCGTTGCTTGCTGTTGACATTATAATCTTGAACCTAGGTTTCTTCATTTGTGGCAGCTGTACTGTGTACTTTCCCTCAGTGTCTTGTTCTTGTATATTTTGCAATAATTTCTGGCATTCTTGTTCACTACTACAGTTTATTACCACAACCCCATTTTTCGCGGTCTTAACAGAATTAATGCTAATATTCAATTCACTCGGATTAATTTTTGATTGAAGATCGGCTTTAGTAACTTTCGCATCTTGCACATTTTTTGGTTTCATAAGTACCGGAGGAACATTCTTAGGAGTATGAGGTCGAATTGGCGTTTTCGACAGAGCAGGAGTGGAGGCGACACTTGCGTAAGATTTGGTACATTCTATCTTCTTCATTTGTTCTTGTAGTATATCAATTATCATTTGTTTATCGTTTATAATTGTGGTTTTGTCTAGAATTGTGTTTTTGAGACACTCTATGAAGTCATTCGCTCTACAGTGTTTGCAAAAGAATTTTAGTTGTCGTTCTGCAAGAGGCATACATCTTACCTCAGATGTTGTTAGTTCAGAGCAATCTCCACAGTAATATGTGTTGCACGAATCACAGGCAAAGACGTAAATTTTGTCCTTTTTGTTTTGTTTCTGTTTGCACTTTATGCAGGTATTATCACCCATGGTTATTTCTCCTCATAGATAGGAAAACTGTTCACTGGAGTTGGCAACAGCGCCTGCCACCTGATCAGAAGATCGCACGTCTTCGACGAATTTCTGTTAAAATTTTCTGCACACAATCCACTATCTTCACTTGTACATCAACCCCAAGGCCAACAAAGGCCTTTAGAGTCTTTCTCATAAAATAATTTGTTGAAAAGATAAAAATTTTTAGCAAAATTGCGGATAATTGTAAACAATAACACTAGCAGTGTTGTCGGATCTTATAACGACGAGATGTGTGTATATTGCATCGCGAATTATTCAATAGCCGGAATTCCCAAGAACGCTGACAGTGGCGTCGAGAGAACAGAGGCGGCATTGTTCTAGAGGAAGGCTAGATAACATATGGCAAACAAAGGAGGCATTGTTCTATGAAGTCGAGATAAGGATGACTCATCGACCACCTGCAACATGCATATCGTGTGACCTTGAAACAAAGTGTTACCAATTGTAGTTATACCAACCTAAATCTGGTGAGCACAGTCACTAGATTGTGACGTCATCCACCACCTTTCAAAAAGAAGAAGAAGAATGTCCTAGAACACGCCCATGAGGTCTAGAGTCCAGAGTCTAGGGGGCTAAGTTTAGAGTACTTCCACGTGTCATCTGTCATGCCTTGTGTTTCATGTCAACTGTCACTTGTCATCTGTCACCTATCGCTTGTCGTCTGTCACTCGTCGTCTGTCACCTGTCACTCTTTGTGTTCCATGCCATGTCACCCCTTGGACTCCATGTCACCTGTCACATGTCATCTGTCACTTGTTATTTGTCACTTGTCATCTATCACTCTTTGTGTTCCATGTCATCTGTCACTTGTCATCTGTCATCTATCGCTTGTCATCTGTCACTTGTCTGTCACTTGTCATCTGTCACTTCCGGCGGCGGCCATCTTGTGACGTCACTTCCGTGCATCCAACACCGTCTACCACAGGAACGGTTGTGGCGTTATTTCCGGCGGCAACCATCTTGGGCTCGTGGTAACGTACTACTGACTTCGACTATGTTTTCACTGTAACTCTGCCGTCAAGCATCTGACATTCATACAGTTGAAGCAGATACGATGGCAGTGACTGTATAAGACGACTCTGAAGAGTATATAAAGAGTTTGATAGTCAAATGGAGTTACATCGACTTCATCGGTGTGCATACTCTAACTCTATCCTATCATCTCACATGGATACTATTGAAGCAAATGAGTTCGCAATGCCCATATGAGACGACAAATAAGCAGGTATAACGCACACAACTTGCAGAACAAGAAACTTCAACTACGACTATGTTTACACATGAACTCTGCAGTTTAACTTCTGACGTGCATACAGTTGAAGCAGATATAATCGCAGTGACCATATAAGACGACTTTGGAGAGTATACAGTGAGTAATAAGCAGATGAAGATCCATCGACTGCATCGGAGTGCACACTCTATCTCTCTATCCTTTCTCATCACATAGATACTATCGAAGCAGACGAGTTCGCAATGCCCATATGAGACGACTCCTAAGCGGGTGTAACGCACACAACTTGCAGAACAAGAAAATTCGACTTCGACTTTGTTCACACTGTAACTCTAGCATCTGACATGCATACAGTTGATGCAGGAACAATTGCAGTGACCGTATAAGACGACATTGAAGGGTATATAACGAGTACAGTAGGCAAATGAAGATACATCGTCTTCATCGTTGTGCACACTAAATCTCTCATCATCTCTTATCATCTCACACTGACACTATTAAAGCAGACAAATTCGCATTGACCATATGAGACGACTTCCAAGCGGTTATTACGCTCACACATGGACACTTCTGAAGCGAACAAGTTCGCAATGATCATATGAGACGACTTCCAAGATGGTATAACGCACACAGCTTGTAGAACAAAAAACTTCGACTTCGACTATGTTTACACTGTAATTCTGCAGTCTCGCATCTGACATGCATACAGTTGAAGCAGATACGATGGCAGTGACCGTATGAGACGTTTTTGAAGGGTATATAACGAGTACAATAGGCAAATGGGGAAACATCGACTTCATCGTCTCACACACTATATATATCTATCTCTGCAGTCTTGAATCTGACATGCATACAGTTGAGGCAGATACCATTGCAGTGACCGTATAAGACGACTTCGAAGAATATATAACGAGTACAATAGGCAAACGAAGATACATCGACTTCATCGTTCTGCACACTATATCTCTCTATCCTATCATCTCACATGGACTCTATTGAAGCAGACAAGTTCGCAATGACCATACGAGACGACAACCAAGCAGGTAAAACGCACACAGCTCGCAGAACAAGTAACTTCGACGTCGACTTTGTTTACAATGCCACTCTGCAGTCTAGCATCTGACATGCATACAGTTGAAGCAGATATGATCGTGGTGACCATATAAGACGACTTTGGAGAGTATATATCAAGTACAATAGGCAGATGAAGATACATCGACTTCATAAGTGTGCTCACTCTATATCTCTATCCTATCAACTCACAGGGGCACTATTGAACAGTCAAGCTCGCAATGACCATACAAGACGACTTTCAAGCAGGTATAACGCACACAGCTTGCAGAACAAGAAACTTCGACTGCGACCATGTTAACACTATAACTCTGCAGTCTAGCATCTGACATATATACAGTTGACGCAGATACGATCGCAATGACCATATAAGACGACTTTGAAGGGTATATAGCAATTACAACAGGCAAATGGAGATACATCGACTTCATCATAGTACACACTATATCTCTTCATCCTATCATCTCACATGGAAACTATTGAAGCAGACAAGTTCGCATTGACCATATAAGACGACTTTTGAGCGGGTATAACGCACACAGCTTGCAGAACAAGAAACATCGACTTCGACTTTGTTTACATTGTAACTCTGCAGTCTTGAATCTGACATGCATACAGTCGAGGCAGATACCATTGCAGTGACCGTATAAGACGACTTTGAAGGATATATAACGAGTACAATAGGCAAACGAAGATACATCGACTTCATCGTTTTGCACACTATATCTCCCTATCCAATCATCTTACATGGACACTATTGAAGCTGACTAGTTCGCAATGACCGTATAAGACGACTTGTAAGCGGGTATAACGCACACAGCTTGCAGAACAAGAAACATCGACTTCGACTACTGGTACTGGTACTGGTGGGGGACGTTTCCACGTCAGCAACTAGTCCCCAATGGGACCTTTTTGCAAACCGCAAGTGTTTTCAATGACTGATGTGGTTCGCTCAAGAGAGCTGGCTAACATCCTTTTCAGGCACCGCCCATCAGCTCTTTTTTCATAGTTTTTCAGCTGTGTTTTGTAGGCTAGTAATGTACTCACTACCATATGCGCAGTGGCAGGCCTGCTAACTATCATCGTTAACCCGCGAGACCGAGGTCTACTCAAGCAGCTGGCCCGCTCTCACGCTCAGCTGGTAGTTTTCCACACTCACCTACATATACCGTCCTACTTCTTCTCTGATGCTCACAACCACATCATCATCTCTTTCTGCGTGTTCTGTGTAGGCTTTCTTACTAACTCCATGCGCCACTTTAGGAGCAGCACGCAACAGCGAATCGTGCAGGACTATCCCCAGCCGATGCTCCGAAACTTTACAATATTTAATTCGTAAATAAAATATTGAAAAAAGTTCCTTGCCCGTGCTGGAAATCGAACCCACGACCTTGCGGTCGTGAGACGGATGCTCCTGACTTCGACTATGTTTACATTGTAACTCTGCAGTCTAGCATCTGTCATGCATACAGTTGAAGCAGATATGATCGCAGTGACCATATGAGACGACTTTGGAGGGTATATAGCAAGATCAATGGGCAGATGAAGATACATCGACTTCATCGGTGTGCACACTATACCTCTCTATTCAATTGTGACGTTTTTGTCTGCGTGATTAGATCAGCACAGATGAGAACGTCCAGGATTCAGGTTTTCTTCAATTTACTGTCAGATTTGGTGAAATCAAAAGACTAGATGTTAACGATAGATGACTGAATTTATTTCCTATTCCTAAAATGTTAAGGTGTACTCTATTTATTCCATTTATATCATTAGCGGCTTTTCGGCATAGTCTTCCTCTCGATGGCTTCGTTGGCTGCAACAACTCCAACTCAGGAACCTGGTTCGCTTCCTAGGGAATCTCCAGGGAACTCGGTGATGATGACTAATTCGTGTGGTGCAGTTTGACTTAACTGCTAGCGTTTCAACAATCAGAGAAAATCTCAGTCTAAATGTCTACTGGGGATGATACTGAGATCAGTAAGGAAACGGTGGAGGTGGAGTGATTCTAGTTTCGTACTGAAACGTATCTAGAATCACGGGGAGTAGTATGGCCTCGTAGAAAATACCGAAATATTCGGAACAGGACTCGAGATGATTTCGGGATCAGTAGAGGAGCGGTGGAGGCGGCGTGGTTCTTATTTCGTACTGAAGCGTGTCTAGAATCACAGGCACGAGTTACGGCTTAGTTAAAAATACCGAGATATCCTCCACGGGACTGAAGATAATGCGGGAATCAATAGAGAGGCGGCGGGGGCGGTGTCATTCTAGTATCGTGGTGAAACGTGTCTAGAAACACAGGTACTAGTACGACCTAGCTGAAAATACCGAAATATCCTACACAGGACCGAGGATAATTCGGGAATCAATAGAGGGGTGGCGGGGGCGGTGTCATTTTAGT